AAGAAGTCATTTATTTTTATTGAGGACAATTGAACCTGCTCTAACGGCCACTTGTCCTAGACAAAAACCCTGCACAGATGGCCACTCCCCACGCCCTCACTCCTTGGATGCACAGAACCATCCTTACGCCACACGACAAGGACATGAATACGATGTCCTATATTAAATCTAAAAAGAAAATGTGAGGCAGCGGGGTGGAATCAGGCGCTCGTCAATCTTTGGGCATATGGGGTTATTGGTATCATCTTAAAGCCTAATCATTTGCCTTTCTTTAAGTGAAAAAATATTTCTTCTATGTCGAATAGAAGTCGAAATATTTGCGATTGAAGGAGGTCAGGGTCGCCTGGTTCCAGAAAAAAAAATTAGCGAGAAAATAGTGGCAAAAGTTTTGTAACTTCCATAGCCTGAGTGTCCCTGGAAACTGAAAATTTACATTGTTTATGCCTTTAATCAATGTTTTTCAGTAAAATCCTCAAACAAAAGTGTTTTTAAATGGACATAAAAAGTGTTGAGCCAAAAAAATATACTTTAAAAAAATTGCCTATCGACCTAAAAAATGCCGGTTTCTTTGCTTTTATTATTTTGATGAGAGCCTGATTTCGCCACGATGCCTCACAAATATATAGTCAAATAGCCCGTACTTTCACTTTTAGTGTTTTGTTTCATTTCAACATTTTCTCCCTCTTATCACTTGCTCACTAGGAGAACTTTACGTCATCGTGGAGTACTGTCGCTATGGCAACCTAAGAGATTACGTGCGTGCCCATGCGCAAGACATCCAGCTGCTATTAATAGACGAAGAGACCGCCTCTAGCACATTACGTCATAAGGGGCATGTCTCCCACATGGACGCTGACAACATGTCGCTCTCTTCCGGACACGACGAATGTGGAGGCAAGTTGCTGGACTCATCCAGAGCTGACTATGTGAATGGACGGCGCCTCAAGGTTAGATTCTTTGAATTGTCGTCCATTATTATTTGCTAAGAGTTATTAAAAAACAACAACGACACGTGTGCAATTAAATTTTTTAAAACATCGATATATTTATATATAAATGATTCATCATCATCATCATCATCATCATCATCATCATCATCATCATCATCATCATCATCATCATCATCATCATCATCATTGTAAACAGCAGAGAATAAAAAAGGGTCTATATTAGCCGACTTCCCCCCAAAAAAATTACATCAGGAACATAAAAAAACACCACCACCATCATCATCATCATCATCATCATCATCATCATCATC